TATATAGAAAATTAAAATAATTTTAATCTTATTTATGATGGGAGATATCGACTTTATTATTTTCAAAATACTAAGGAATCACTTCATTCGCGTGAAATTCAATATATTAATTTCCGCAAACTATATCAAGGTTTGCTTGATCAATAAAACGCAAGAAAATTAAAGAAGAAATAAGTTTCTAATGTATCTCTCCCTAATAATGGGAATCGACAAGAATTTTATGGTTTTCTTGTGATATCTTCATAGATACAGAATCTTAACATTTACATCCCCATAGTCGAAATTTGCGTGAGCAACATCAATGCTTTGTGATTTGAATCGCGAGATAGTCTATAATTAAGGGTTTTATAAGAGAATGTGTGAGTGTAAGGATTTAATGATAGTCTATTGGGCGCCCTGTGACGTGACCAATACGATTTCATTGCAAAACGAATCGATTTCATCGGCTCCGAGTAAAACTCACCTTGCAATTGTTGAATGGTAGCTTGGTACTCGGCGAGTTTTTCATCCACGTAATCTTGACTCTGACTGGCGATGATCTCGGCTGTGCTGGGACCGCTACTTTCTTCGTCCGTCTGCGTATGGTCTAAGGGTACACCAACATACTCGTAATCCCCTGGTCTGTAGGGTGCTATAAGATATTCCGGTGGAGCGCATGGTACCGGTGATGCCGAATCGCTTCTGAAAGAAGTGCTCTGCAAATTGAGAAGAAATACATTTTAGCAAGTCTTGCGTTACATGAGTTTTCGCTGCACATACTGAAACCTTTGTCGAAAAAACTTTGACGAGAGTTTCGTTATTTTTTTATTAAATTTTACTTTAAATAAAGTTTTATTTCTTTTTTTTTTTTTTTAACGAAGGAGAACAAAGAAGAAATCCTTTAAAACTACTTGTGAATATTTCAATTATTAGGAATGACTTCCAAATGTGTATTTTTAATCTACTATCTATCTGGATGCACCTTTTGCATTAACATGATTATTTGTGTTACAATTTGGATTATAGACACTCGAGTCTAAATAACCTTACGAGTACTGCAACACGCAATGTGGACATACGTCTACGACACATTACTATCGATCTGTCATCCTTCGTGCTACAACAACACGTACCTGCGTCGGTATGAATGGCCTTGGCGCTTGACTACCCGTAGGAATCGGCGAAGGCCACCGTGGCCTTGGGCACTGGATGTAACCAGAAGTCGGACAGCCGAAGACGGGCGACATCCCGGGTGAGATTGGCATTCCGATCGGCACCGGACTCATCGGATGCATCATTATTCCGGGATAGACAAGTGGTGACATAGGATGAGCTGGATGGACTGGAGTCGGAGGCCCGCGGATTCGTCCTTGCGGATATGGCGATGACGATGGTGTATATGGTGAAGCGGGCCTGAAGGGACTCGGTGCTCTCGGCGCATTAGATCGTCCTGACCAGCTACCCGGAGGCACGTGACCTCCTCCGGGTGGCCTCGACGGATGCTGTTGCGACATTTTGGATCACTTCAACTGCTCGCCGTATTGCCTCGTTTATAGCCTAGCATCCCTATAAGTAAGATAGCGATTCAATTGGTCTTTAATTATCTGAACACCAAATAACAATAGAATCGTGCTTTCAGTTGTCTTTCTCTCAGTTCTATATTCGTATTAATTCGTATTAACTATGTATTTTTGATTGCAACAACGCTTATGTATGTTTATTGCTAATTTTGTCTATCACGGAAAGAACAATTTTGCTAAAGCATCTAAAAGCTTAGATATAGATCTGAAAATAATTTTAATGAACCATCAAAATAATTACGTCAGAATGTCAAGCGTAATGTTGCAAAAAGTTTTAACATTCTCGCAATCAGTTTGAGTATTTTACATAATTATGTTGATGGTCCAATAAAGGTATTTTCAGGTCTGTATTTAGCTAAATTTTTAGATATTCCAGCAAAATCGTCCTTTTTATAGACATGATATTTACATTAAATAAATGATAATATTGCCACGTTACCTCATGCGCCTATTTTATAAGCTAAGATAATCCTAATATTAATCGATCATATTTGATCAAAAAAATTAGAAATATTGTTAATTACTACTTGACTTATTTTGGATATATTTATCAATAAAGTTTCAACCACGTCCTATATTAATAAAGTAGCGGAATATCATTCCATTGAATACAAACATTTAGAATGATTGCGTTTTAGAACGAGACACAATCTGACGTTTGATTGGCAGTAATCATTTTTAGGAAAACAAAACGTCCACAAATGAACTTTAAGAAACTAAATGAACTTCGAGTCGCATAATAGCGTCGGCTATTCGACGTGGCACATGGCCAAAAGTTTCTCGAAATAGGTGAGTACGTATGTACCTATGAACTCTTGCACACTAATGCGGAAAGAAGGTATCTACGTATAATTATCGAAATGTCAGAGAGAATGTAGGCACGCGAGCGAATAACGACATTGATATATAATAAACAGAAGTCACGGCGCGAATCAAGTAAAATAATCAGATTTATTTCAACCGTACGTAATTTCGATACAATTAAGTTAATTAATTAAGTTAATATAATTAAATTAATTCCGAAAATATCTGTCAGTTATAACAATAAGTGTAATAGGCGCTTTATATTTTCGAAAGTATATCGAGACATACATTTCGACAGATTTCGGTCGTAGAGTTCGTTGATACCAAAAATCTTGGCAACTGGAAACAGCAGTCTATATCTATTTAATTTCGGCCAGACACATCGAATTCGTCACGCTCTTCTCGGGCATAATTACCGTTTTCATATTTGCACGTACATATTTGTTTAAAGGAATTTAGAAAAACAGTTTTTTTTTTTTCTGTTACAATCATTATTTTATTATTAGATCGAATAACAATGTTAAGATTTTCGAATCGTCTTTTGCATGTATGTTTCTAACGACACATGCACTGGCAACGAGAGGTATTTCTCAGCCTCCTTCCATTGTTTCGCCAAGTCATTTACGTGCCGTAAAATCAAAAGAGGAAATCTGTGTGCTCTTCACGCGCGTAGACGAAAAGTCTTCAGCTTTTTAGCTAGATATCGAGTGTAGGCCGGCTAAATATAGCGCTATTTCTATTTTCGATCAGCACGGCGTTCATATACGCCCGACGAGCCGGCAGGTATATTCGCAATGACTGCGTCGGATATTTCGGAAACTGACACGGATATTAACAGCTGTAATCGGCCATCGCGATCGCGCCGGTTTGACCACACACGTGGAGTGCGAATAATCGCTTCGCTAATGCAATCCCGAAAATATATCCCGCCGACATAATGGTCGATCTCGTAAGTGAATCTTGAAAGGTGTCACGACTTTTTCGCGATCCACTGTCGTTCGAGAATGATTTTCAACTGGTTATATTCCATGAGTGTAATTGGCGTAAACTAGAATGTAAAATATGACGAACTTGATACTCCAAAGAAACATGTGTCCATTGTCTAGATCTTGTAACAAAAGCGTAGTGCCTAGTTTGTAATTTAACAGTAATTTATACTGTTCTTTGAAAGTTTATGAGAACCTGTCGGGACAATTCATTCTTTTCTATGACACTTGGTTTGTACCTCATCTATATACGCGCGTGTATAACATACACCTCTCTGTCATAATTTCAAGGTGTTAGCAATGTAAAATACGAAGAACTAACAGAATAGTAATAATTGAAGCACTAATTTTAAAGAATATGGTAAAAAGAATATAGCTAAAGTAATTTGTGATCGATCCAAATCTTTCTAATCGATAGAATTATAAACGTCAATGTTAGAATCGTGATAGCAGCGTTTTGCTCGCTGTTTAAAACATCGAGATCTTGATCTCGGTCACGCAAGGCAAAACGAAAGAAGATCAGTCAGAGGGATCTCAGTCAGATTGCTGGAAAATTTCGTGCGAGGACGGATCAACGGGCAATCGAACATTAGCGACATACTGGACCCTGGACCTCGGATGCTGCGTCCAAAAATAAGATCTCTCTACTGAATTGATGATCAGAAATAGTTGGCGTTCGGAATGGATGTGGCTGACGGAATTGTCCGATTTGTCAGTCAGTAATTATTATTGGTCCTCACCCTCATCAGTCCCGACATCGACGAACATACTATAAAGTACTAAATTCTACGTACGTTAAACAAGCTTTGCAATGACTCAACTTTGCGTATCAGGTTTATCCATTACACTCGTCTTCGAGAGCATCTCAAGTCGATTCGTTAAACTTGACTTTGCAAATATGTAAATCGTTATGGATTATCTGTTTATTAAATTCTTAGATGAAGTTAATAATCCGAAATTTTTTAAGAAAAAAATCGAAAAATGTTCTTAGTTTGGATTTAAAAAATGTATTGAAGCTATTGAAAATTACTCTGGGTTAATATATTAATCAATATATATGTAATTTCACTTTCAACTTTGTTTAGCAAATTTTCATTGTAATATGACAAACTTTTTCTATCAATTTAATAATGCATATGACGTGAAAATTGACACATTACTTATTCTATTAACGTCTATCATGATAGAACACAAACAAAATTCTCAATATCATAAATAATTAACTAAATTGAAATTACTACGATATGACGATTAATAAAATTTATGAATTACGCAACCATATGTAAACCATCACATACTGAAGCAAACAACCACCCACGCGAATTGCAAATACACAGGACATTCCAAAACTCTTAATCATAATTTTAACAATATAAATTCCTTATTTTACCTGCTTAATTTGTCGAAAATCTTAACTTTAAATTTTGTAATTTCCTACAACTCCAGAAATCGGACTTACAACACTATAAATAAAATACTACAAAAATTATAATTGAATATCTTGGGTACACGTAACACAAATTACCGGCAAATCCAGAAAGTTCTTGACTGCGTTTCAACTGACGATCTCAATGGCCGATTGATTCTCATCAATTGAAATTAAATTCTACTCTGAAAAACACACTTTGTTGTTCCGCAATCGTTGGGGATTCACTACAAAATTTGCGGTCTAGGACTGATCATCGAGCGAGAAATTTGATTGACATTGGTTATAGATCGAGGTAAAAAAGTGAAAGAAAAGAGAAAAAGAGAGGAAGAGAGGACAATTTCTATGCCGGATCTCGCGACGCGAACCACAGAGAGACTGGTCCCGGTGCTGGATCATCGATCCAGGATGGGCGTCGCGACGCGCGTTCTCTCTCTCTCTCTCTCTCTCTCTCTCTTTCTCTCTCTCTTGCGGACCACATTTATATTTAACTTTGGCATCACTCGACATTCGACTTAGCAGCACTGCTCGTCCTTTACTCCTCACCCTCCAACAACGTTGCCCTCATTCTCACCTCCTGTTCTCTTCTTTTGACGGGCTCGCTTCTTTTTATTCGTTCCACCCTGCGTCGTGAACGCGGGTGCGACGTGCTGGTGCCACGCTATTATCACCGATGAGCCAACGGCCATCGCTCATCGATAAATTTGGTCGTTCATTACGAAAATGTGTCCAATGACGTGCAATTGAATAACGATCGAACGTACTATTATACTTGCGGAAATGATTTTGAGGGACGACGACCTGATCATGCATCTTCCTTCATTAAGGTGTAACAGAAATGTGTTAGTTTCTAGACATGATATTTCCATTGACGTCAAAAAAGATCATTTATAAAATATAAGAAAATTTGCAATATCGCGATATTTTTGAATAATATAACTATATATTATTTTTTATTATAATATTTATTATTCTTATA